AGCCTCTTGCGGAACTCTTAGAACCTCGTGGTAGCGTCCTGGTCTTGGAGGCCTCCTGGGGGCCTCCCTGGGCATCTAGGGGCTTCTTGTGTTCCTCTTTGGCAGTCCTAGGGCGTTCGTAGCCCATCGCACGCCGACGGAAACCCTGTCAGGGGCCTCTCTAAACCGACTGGGGGCCCTCTTGGGGCGCTTCAGGGCCGTTTTGGAGGCCATCTTGACTGTCTTGGGGCCGACTTGGGCCCCTCTTGGGCTGTCTTGGAGCTAACGTGGAGGCCTCTTTGGCCGTGTTGGAGCGTCCGAAACCCGAAGCCGCGAGCAGGCTAAAACCCTTCGAAAACCAAAGGGGAATCAATGAATTTAGCCTCTTGGGGCCCTCTTGGGGGCCTCTTGGGCCTCTCGTCTCTTGGGCCATTTTGAGGCCACGTTGGGCCTTCTTGGGTCCATCTTGGGCCATCTGGGGCTCTCTTGGAGCCATCTTGGCCGTCTTGGGGGCATGTTGGGACAGTCTTGAAGGCCGTCTTGAGCCAACTTGGCCGTCTTGGAGGCATCTTGGAGGCCATCTTGGAGCCATTTGTAGCGGAACAGTCCTTGCCAACTGGGTTTGGATGAGTTTTCCGGCCACGGGAGCCCCATAGGGGAGTTTTTTTTTTGGACAGGACCAAGAATTACCAGACGTCTAGCACGCCGTGCACACCTGTGGCAAGACCACAGGGCGCTGCGGATCGAAGACGCCTATGGCGAATCGCCGCCGCCCCCTGCCTTTTGGAAGCGCCTATGCGCCCGAAAGTTGGGCTAGAGCTTAGCCAAGCTATCGGACCATGTGTTCCCCCAGCCGTCGATGAAACCCTTCGGGGAACACGTGAGGAAGAGGGGAATGAGGAGAAGGAAAAAGGCAGGAGGAGGAGGAGGAAGCGGAGGAGGAGGAGGAGGAGGAGGCGGAGGAGGAGGCGGAGGAGGAGGAGGAGGAAGAGGAGGAGGAGGAGGAGGAGGAGACAGATCTCAACAGGCAACGAACGTGGTGGATGGGGCGCCCGCGCGGGCTCCAGAGTTGGATGCAGTGTACGCTGCGTCTTGTTTTCCGAGGGATGCTGGGCCTGCGCGCAGCAAAGAATATGCCTTCGCCCCCGCCATCCCTTTTATCAAGGGCAGAAAACAAACGCTGTGTCTTGTTTCCTTGAGGGATGCTGGGCCTGCGCGAAGCAGAGAATATGCCTTCGCCCCCGCCATCCCTTTTACCAAGGGCAGAAAAAACGCTGTGTCTTGTTTCCTTGAGGGATGCTGGGCCTGCGCGAAGCAGAGACTATGCCTTCGCCCCCGCCATCCCTTTTATCAAGGGCAGAAAAAACGCTGTGTCTTGTTTCCTCGAGGGATGCTGGGCCTGCGCGAAGCAGAGAATGTGCCTTCGCCCCCGCCATCCCTTTTACCAAGGGCAGAACAAACGCTGTGTCTTGTTTCCTTGAGGGATGCTGGGCCTGCGCGAAGCAGAGAATGTGCCTTCGCCCCCGCCATTCCTTTTATCAAGGGCAGAAAAAAACGCCCCTACCCTGGATTACGAGGCGCTGTGCGCTGAACCTCCCGCGGGCTGACAGGGTAAACCCTGCGTGATGTGCGACGTCCTGGCGGCTCTAGGCTTTGGGGGGTCCCAGGAGGTTTACAGACCACGCACTTTTCCCTCCCCAAGGACCGCCCTCCCCGATCCGCCGCCCCCAGACGCCTCGTGGCCCCTCGTGCCGGGCCCGCCTCTGCTGGCCCCACGGCCCGCAGAGACGGCCCGTCAGAGGGCGAGATGGAGGAGCAGGAGGAGGAGGAGGAGAAGGAGGAGGCTTTAGGGTCGTCTTTTCATCCGTCAATTTTAAAACCAGTGCGAAGTGATCGCGGGGCGCCCGCCGAGTGGCCGCGGGGCGCCCGCGCCTGCTCCGGACTTGGAGGAGAGAGGCATCCTGTTTTGTTCCCTACCTAGGCTCTGCCCAGAAGGGTTCTTACTGTCTTGGCTTAAAGGGGCCGGGCAGTGTAAACCGCCCCGGGCGGTTCCCCCGGTCCCCTGGGAGCCAAGCAAAAGCAACAGCAAAGGTAAAAGCAAACGCGCAGTTCCCCCAGTTGCGCTCCCTGGGTGCCAAGCAAAAGCAAAAGCGAAAGCAAAAGCGAAGGCAACGCAAAAGCATAGCATAGCATCACATAGCATAGCATATCGCAGCATAGCATAGCGCAGCATAACATAGCATAGCATAGCATAGCCTAGCCTAGCCCAGCGTCGCAATGCGCAGCATAGCATAGCATAGCATAGCATAGCATAACATAGCATATCATAGCATATCATAGCATATCATAGCATAGCATAGCATAGCGCAGCACAGCATCCACTGTTGCTGCTGCTATAGATGCGAAAGCAAATGTATTATTGATGGCAACGCAAAGCGCAGCACAGCATCCACCATTGATGGCAATGCCAAGCAAAAGCAAAACCAATGCGAACGTGTAGATGTAGATGTAGATGTAGATGTAGGTGTAGGTGTAGATGAGGATGTAGGTGTAGATGTATCTGCAGATGTAGTTGTAGGTGTAGATGTAGGTGTAGATGTATATGTACATGTGAGTCTCGTTGTTGATGTAGATGTAGATGCAGATGTAGATGCAGGTGTAGATGTAGATGTAGCTGTAGGTGTAGTAGATGTAGGTCTAGATGTAGATGTAGGTGTCGATGTAGATGTAGGTGTAGATATAGATGTAGATGTTAAGAATTCCCCAGTGCCCCGCCCTCATCTCCGTGCCTGCTTGCTTTTGCTGCTGTCTCGGCGACTTGCTGCCTGCTTCTGCTGCTGCTTCACTTACGGCGTGGCGTCGGCGGTTCTGGCGCTACTTTTACTACTACTACTACTACTATTATTACTACTACTACTACTACTGCTACTACTACTACTACTACTACTACTACTGCTACTTACAACTACTTACTACGTACTACTACTTACTACTTACTACGTACTACTTACTACTTACTACTTACTACTTACTACTTACTACTTACTACTTACTACTTACTACGTACTACTACTACGTACTACGTACTACGTACTACGTACTACGTACTACGTACTACGTACTACGTACTACGTACTACGTACTACGTACTACGTACTACGTACTACGTACTACGTACTACGTACTACTACTACTACTACTACTACTACTACTACTACTACTACTACTACTACTACTACTACTACTACTACTACTACTACTACTACTACTACTACTACTACTACTACTACTACTACTACTACTACTACTACTACTATACTACTACTACTACTACTACTACTACTACTACTACTACTACTACTACTACTACTACTACTACTACTACTACTACTACTACTACTACTACTACTACTACTACTACTACTACTACTACTACTACTACTACTACTACTACTACTACTACTACTACTACTACTACTACTACTACTACTACTACTACTACTACTACTACTACTACTACTACTACTACTACTACTACTACTACTACTACTACTACTACTACTACTACTACTACTACTACTACTACTACTACTACTACTACTACTACTACTACTACCGCTACTGCTACAGCTACAGCTACGACGATGAGGAGAAGGAGGACGGCGTTTACCGCTCCTACTAGTGTTGCTTTCCTAGAGGCTCCAACTCCTAGGTAGGGTCGCACTGGGATATTTTTTTGACGGGGGCGGTCGGCTTGCAGGCAACTCGTGCGCACCAGACAGCGTGCCGGCACCCTCGCCGCCCCTGCCAAAAACCAGTGCGGAGTGATCGCGGGGCGCCCGCCGAGTGGCCGCGGGGCGCCCGCGCATGCTCCGGAGGTGGAGGAGAGAGGCATCCCGTATTGTTTTTTGACAGGGGCGGTCGGCTTGCAGGCAACTCGGGCGCACCGGACAGCGTGCCGGCGCCCGCGCCGCCCCTGTCAAAAACCAGTGTGCGGAGTGGTTGTGGGGCGTCCGCCGAGTGGTCGCGGGGCGCCCGCGCATGCTCTGGACTTGGAGGCGAGATGCATTCAGCATTGTTTTTTTGACAGGGACGGCCGGTTTGCAGGCAATTTGCTGCACAACAGACAGCATGCCGACACCCCCGCCGTCCCTGCCAAGAGCCTCGAGATTTTGAGGCATAGTGCATGTTGTGTTGTTTTGACAGGGGTGATGGGCGAGGCTGGTATGTCCCGGGTTGGCCCGCAGCCGGGTGGGGAAAGGAGGGGTTTCGCAGAGAGAACAGACAAAATCTGTCAAACCACGTACGCCCAGAGCGCTGGTGGGATTTGGGGTTTGGGCCTCGTAATATTCAGCCCTGGGGGTTGAGGACTCAGGATTGCAAGGGCCTACGGACATGTTAGGGCAGCTGCATTATGAGGACTTTGCTTGTCTCACATAGGTGCGCGGCTCTCTGGTCGCGAACTTCGTGGGCCTGTGGCAAATCAGTTCAATTCCATTTTGATGGTAAGGGGAAAGGCCACCGGGACACCTAACCTCTTTCCATGCAGCAGCACTCCCTCTCGCGTTTCGCGGCACGGTGGAGGATGCATGGTCCAGGGTCGAGGGCTCACAGGCCCCCACCCCCTCCAGATGGGGTGGGTCCCACGGTTCACAGGGCCCCCCCTGATGGGTTTGGGGGCGGGACGACGACGACGACGACGATGACGACGACGACGACGACGACGACGACGACGATGACGACGATCCCAGTAGGATGGGAGGGTTGGGGGGAGGGCTTGGAGACCTGGATACGGGGCGTGAAAACGACCACAGCCACTGCTTTTCTTTTGTTGCCGCCTTCCAGCCAGCAGAAACAAAGCAGTGGTTGTGGTCATTTTCGTTGAGCTTGGCAACAGGGAAATGACCACAACCACTGCTTCTTTTTCGGCCGGCTGGAAGGAACCGCAAACAAGAAGCAGTGGCTGTGGTCATTTTCCCGTCCCGCACTGGATCACATATGACCCACCTGCCGGCGGGCAGGTCCGGGAGGAGATCGAGCGGCAGACGGAGGAGATCGCGGGCAGCAACAAGGCCCGCCTGTGGCCGCCCGGATCCCGGACCGGGCCGGCGCGCCTGGTGGGGACCGCCGCCTGGATCCGAACGCCTCCTCCTCCTCCTCCTCCTCCTCCTCCTCCTCCTCCTCCTCCTCCCTCCTCCTCCATCCACCTCCTCCTCCTCCTTCTCCTCCTCCTCCTCCTCCTCTTCCTGCGCCCCCTCCTCCTACTGTTCCCTCTCCTCTTTCTCCTTCTCCTTCTCGCCACCCCGTGCTTGCCTGTGTGTTTTCATGCATGCGGATGTGGTGGCACGTTTCCAGCCGTTGCCGAGCCCCTCCTGCCTCCCCGCGCCCTCCTCTCCCGCTGCGTCCTCGTCCTTCCCCTTTGGACCTGCCTCCCTGGAGGCAGGCCAATCCATATTCCATACTTCTCATCCTTCCCCCCTCCTCCTCCCCTGCCCCCTCCCCCTCCCTCCTTCTCCCCCTCCCCTTGCATGCGAATGCGACTACATCACCGATCGTTGCCGTGCTCCGTCCCCTCCCTCCTCCCTGCTCCCCCCTCCCTCCTCTCTCCTTGCCTGGCCCTTCCTCCTTCCCTCGTCCTTCCTCCACGTCCTGTTCCTCCTCGCCTTCCCCGCCACCTGTCCGCCCGACCCCACCATGAAGGGCAGGCACGGTCGGGCAGAAGGCGACCGTTCGGGTTCCATTTCCAGACCCCATCGGTCACGAGAAAATAGCGACGGATTTTGTTTGTTCTTTTTTGTTGTTGTTTCTTTTCTTGCGGTTTTGTTCGTGAATTTATTCGGGTCCGCAGCGCGGGGTTGAATCGTGAAACATGTGGAAACTTGATCATCCATATTTTCGGATTGAGCAACTGATAGTTGAGGCATTAGAACTGAACTCATCAATTCTGGAGTTGCGGATTGATCATTGAAACGTTGAAGGTCTTCAATCCTGCTGTCACGCATGGAGGCATGGAAGTTCAAGTGTGCATAGCTGGCATTTTCAGTCCCAGCGCGGAGGGGACCCAAGGGGCCAGCGGTGCGGGAGCTCGAAGCGTGGGACCCGCGCCCATGTCCTCCCAGGGCCCCCGTGCTGGGAGCTTTTTGTTTGACCGAGTCCGACCCCCCCCCCTCCTCCTCCTCCTCCTCCTCCTCTCCTCCTCCTCCTCCTCCTCCTCCTCCTCCTCCTCCTCCTCCTCCTCCTCCTCTCCTCCTCCTCCTCCTCCTCCTCCTCCTCCTCCTCCTCCTCCCTCATGCCTCCTGCCTCATCGCCTACATTCCTCCTACCTCTCCGACAGGGAACTGCGAACTGCGCAACTGTCGCCACTTTCGGAGGCTCCTGAAAGGTCCAGCGGAGGCGGTAGTCAGGCGAGATTTCGCGGTTTCCTGGGAGGCCGCGAACTGCGTCATTGTCGCCGTTTTCACGGGTTTCGATCCGATTCGATGTTGGTTCCGGTTCGGCCCGATCCGATCCGATCCCGATGCTCTGGCAATCTGATGTGGCCCGATGCTCGCAGGGTCGCGTTGGTGCGCATCCTGGCGTGGCTGATACGATTCGGCCCCAGCTAGGCGCCGCAGCGGTTTGGTCCGACGCACGCTCTGACTCGATGCGGTTTCTCGGTCGAGATGCTGACAAATCCTGCCTCCTCCGTCCTCTCTCCGTGCGCGAGCCTTGCGCCCCCCTGCCCCCCACCCCATTTAGTCGGTTATGGACTTAGGAGGCTGGTTTCTGTAGGGTCTGGCCAGGACCTGGGTTGTCTGGCCCACTCCCCCCCCCACACGCCAGGATCATCTGATCTTGTCGGTTGCGCATGTCCGAAGGGGGTGCGCAGTATTGGTACGCGTGGGCATATATGGCTGCCCTGCGCCTGTGCCTCCCATCACATGGTCTAACACCTCCTCCTCCTCCTCCTCCTCCTCCTCCTCCTCCCCTCCCCCCAGCGGATAACCAGGACCGCCGGGAAATGAAACACGGTGTGCAGAGTGGCGATCAAGAAGCTCCTTGGGGGGGAGGGCCCCTCACGCAGCAGCGCCATGGGCAGAGCATTGATAGCTTGGGTCGCGCCCTTGCTCGTGGGCGGCGTCGTCATTGAGACTCTTTGATCGTCTTCTCGACAGCAGGCCTTCCTCAGCTGCAGGGGACTTTTCAAGATTCGCTCCCCCAGTCCTCAACTCGATCTCCGACGATGTGACTTTTGCAGTCCTGGAGTCCTTTATCGGTCTCTGGGCCCGTTATCGGGCGCTGGGGCCACCAAAACGGATCCCGTTCGCGAGACTACTTCGGGGAAGGGGTCGGAAGTTTTAAAGCCGCGGATTCGGAGGATGTTTGGTTCAGTGGGGCCTCTTGAGTGGGCCCTGTCGGGGCCGCTTGTGAGCCGCTTGGGGGGCCGCTTGGGGGGCCTCTCTGGGGCCTCTTGCCGGCTCTGCTCTCCTCGCAGGGCATTGTCAACGACCCCATCGTGCTGACCGTCTACTCCACCAGCGCCCCCGACCTGAGCCTCGTCGACCTGCCAGCGCGCTGCCATCCTTCCCGCTGCTGCTCTCTGCAGTCGTCGTCGTCGTCGTCGTCGTCGTCGTCATCATCGTCGTTGTGTTGTCGTCGTCGTCGCCGTCGTCGTCATCGTCGTGGTCGTCGTCGTCGTCGTCGTCGTGGTCGTCGTCGTCGTCGTCGTCGTGGTCCTCGGGGGTCCCTGGCCTCGCTTCGAGGTTCTGGCCAGAGCGCGCCCAAAGACGCATCTGGGGGGAGTTTTGTTGCTGAATGGGGCCCAGACCTCCGGCACCTCGCAAGAAGTCGGGCCGGAGGTTCTTCGGCGTCGGGGGTGCAATTCGGGGTCCGGGGTCCGTCAGAAATTTGCTCGGCATGCAAGCACAGCCCCATCAAGGGTTCGAGAGGTCTCGGGGCCCGCGACGTGAAACCAGCGAGTCGCCGCAGGTGGTCGGGTCGAAGGTGGTCAGCTGCCGCTGCCGAGGAGGAGGAGGAGAAGGAGGAGAATCAGGAGAAGGAGGAGGATGAGGAGGAGGACGTACCATCCAGGAGGGACGACTGCGGTTTTGCTTGCCAGCGTGTGCCAGCGGAAGGAACGGGGGTGCTGTCTGGTATGATGGTGTGCGGGCCAATGAGGCGTGTTTCCCGAAGTGCTCCAGACATCCGACGTCAGAGGTCTGGACCCACCCTTTCCTGGGGAGCGGATCTGCATCCTGAGTCTGAGTCGTTTTTGATAGTCCCAGGGCCAGCCCACGAACAAAAATCACCGAACACCGAACAACTTCTGAGTTTTTTTGTATCGGGGGTTTCTGGGGGGTTTTCTGACATATTATTGTTTTTAATTGTGGTGCACCACAAGAATTCCAGAGAAACTTCAGACAAATACCCGAGTTTTTTTTTTTTCTCGAGGGCTTCCCTCCCCGGAGAAACCATAGGAAAAACATAGAAAAACCATTGAACAACCTCCCAATGGGGGGTTCCAGGGGGGGGTAGCCCGAATTGCGATTTGAAGGGGTTTGCCCGATCGATCTCTGGAGTCTCCCGAAAAACCAGGAAATAGCCACATGTTTTGTTTTTGAATGTTTTTGTTGCTTCGTGTTTTGTTGTTGTTGTTGTTGTTGTTGTTGTTGTTGTTGTTGTTGTTGTTGTTGTTGTGTCTTTCTGGTTTTCTCGGAAATAATTTTGTGTTTCACTGTCGGGCCCCAGACCCCCCCAAAATCCCCCAAGCTTCCCACCCTCCCTCCCAGGATCCCGGGGGAAAAGCCGCTCGAAAAACCCACCGATTCGTTTTTTTTTCGGGGGGGTTCCTGGGGGGTTCAGGGAACTCCCACGCCGGTCTCAGCCAGAGGCATGGGATGGGTGTTGGTACTGCTTCTCCTCGTTCTCGAGACAGGGCCCCGTGCCTCGCATGGCCCCCGCGACTGAAGCTTGAGCTGCTTCCGGGCTGCTCGAGTCGAATCGAATCCCACGCTCTCCTGGCGGCTCGGGGCGATCGGGCTGGAGGCGTGTCGCCATGTTACGCGTTTCTGGATCGGCAGGGGTTTCAGGCCCCGAGATGGGATGGAACAGCTCAGACCCTGGATTGCATCGTGGTGCGTTGCTGCGCATGAGATTGATGCACTTCGTCGGTGCTCTTGTATGTATCGTTCGACGTTTCGGTTCGGTGGACATCATGCCCACAAACAGTTTCGTCCCGCGACCACGTACAACTTCTACGTGTCAGATTTTGAGCCCCCACCAGTGTTGCAGAACTCGGACTGCAGGTGTCGCGATCACGTGGATATCCGTGTATTGTGCAACATTGTTCTCTTTTCAACGATGCCATACGTGCCATTCGACTACTCCTCTTGAGGCCATGTGGCGCTGACAAATGCCGCGCACGTGACTAGGCAGCACGCGCGCGTCCGCAGGGCATCACGAGGGTGCCTGTCAAGGGGAGCGACCAGAGCGAGGACATTGAGAAGCTGACCCGCGATATGACGAATCACTACATCAATGACCCACGCCCCCCTGGTTGATTTCTAATGGTCTGCTATCTGACTCCGAGGGGTGAAGGTGAGAGACTTCACCCCAGGTTTTGGGACTATTTGGTGCGATGTTGACGGCTTGCGGCAGCCGGAGGAGAGAGGAGGGGGCCAGAAGGAGCAGGAGGATGCTCGAAATGATTTGGCTCCGGGGCGCCCTCACCTTGTGGGTGGGAGCAGCGGCCTGTGCGCAAGCCGTCACGGCGCGAGCCTGCCGCAGGGATCCGTTCGTGGCACCTGCAGCGGCGGAGGGGAGTGCATGTCAAAGAAGAGTAACTGCGGTAGGCTCGCGTCGTGTCGACCAGCGGCGACCCCAGCGCGAGCGTTCAAGGTTGAACGCCGCCGGCGACCCAACATCGGCCAATTTTGAACGATCGGACATTTCCAAATGGCCGAGCGTTCAAGGTTGAACGATCCCCGCGGTGTCAAAAACCAACAGCCTGCCGTACATGAACATTGATTTTGATGGACAGCGC